AGGAATCCACCTGCAGTGCAGGAGTCACAGAAGACATGGTTTCAATCCCTGGGTCAGGAAGATCCCTTGGAGGAGGAGATGGCAACCCGTTCCAATATTCTCTTGCCTGGGGAATCCCGTGGAGAGAGGAGCCTGGCAGGTCCACGGGGTCTCAAAAGAGTCACATAGGACTGAGTGACTAAGCATGCACACACACAGAAAGAAAATTACATACTGATATCACTGAGGAACATAGGTGCAGAAATCCTCCGCAAAATATTTGCAAACCAAATCCAGCAATACTTTAAAAGGACCATACACCCTGATCAAGTGGGATTTACCCCCAAGGATGCAAGGATTTTTCAATATCCACAAATCAATCAGTGTAATACATTACATCAACAAATTGAAAAAATGTAAACTGTCACTGTTTTCAGGTTACATGATACTATTCATAGAAAATCCTATGCTGAAAGAAATTGAAGATGACACAAGCAGATGTTTGTGGATTGGAAAAATCAATATTATTAAAATGACATACTATCCAAGGCAATCTACAGGTTTAATGCAATCCTTATCAAAATATCAATGGTATTTTTCACAAAATTAGAACAAAAAATTTTTACATTTGTATGGGAACACAAAAGATCCCAAATAGCCAAAGCAATCTTGAGAAAGAAGAACAGAGATGGAGGAACCACACTCTGACTTCAGACTATACTACAAAGCTACAGTAATTAAAACAGTGGTATTGGCCCAAAAGCAAAATATAGACCAATGAAACAGGATAGAAGGCCCAGAACTAAAGTAATGCACTTATATTCAATTAGTCAATGACAAAAGAGGCAAGAATATACAAGGGAGAAAAGAGTCTCTTCAATAAATTGTGCTGGGAAAACTGGACATTTACATGTTAAAGAATGAAATTAGAACCTTCTCTAACACTATTCAAAAAAATAAAATGGATTAAAGGCCTAAATGTAAGACCTAAAATCATGAAACTTCTAGAAGAAATAACATGGCAAAACACCCTTTGACATAAATCATAGCAATATTTTTTTTTTTGCTCTATCTCCCAAACGAAGTAAAGGCAAAAATAAATATATGGGACCTAATTTAACTTAAAAGCTTTTAAATAGAAAAGTAAGCCATCAACAAAATGAAAAGACAACCTACTGAATGGGAGAAAATGTTTGCAAATGATGTGACCAATAAAGCATTAATATTCAAAATATATAAACAGTTCATATTGTTCAACATAAAAAACAAGCAACATGATTACAAGAGAAGATGCTTAATATCACTCATCATCATCAGGGAAATGCAAATCAAAACCACAATGAAATACCACCTCACACCTAACAGAATGGCTGTCATCAAAAAGAACACAAATAGCATTGGCTAGAATGTGAAGAAAAGGAAACCCTTGCACAGTGTTGGTGGGAGTGTAAATTGTTGTAGCCACTGTGGAAAACTGTATGTAAGTTTCTCAAAATTCTGAAAATAGGACAACCATAGCAAGTCTACTCCTGGGTATATATCCAAAAGACAACTCTTACTTGAAAAGATATTTGCACTTCAGTGTTCTAATTAACATTGCTTACACTTGCCAAGATATGGAAGCCACGTAAATGTCCATCAACAGATGAATAGATGTGGTGTCTGTGTATGTCTGTCTGTCTATCTATCTATCTATCTATCTATCTATCTATCTATCTATCTATCTATCTATCTGTCTATATGAAAAGCCAGTCTACTGAATGGGAGAAAATGTGGTGTGTGTATATATATGTATATATATATTCGTGTATGTATGTATATATATATATATATATATATATATATATGTACACAATGGAGTACTATGCAGCAGTAGAAAAGAATAAAAATTTTGTCATTTGTAGCAACATGGATGAACTTTGAGAGTATAATTCCAGGTGAAATGTCAGACAGAGAAAGACAAATACCATGAGAGATCACTTATATATAGAATCTGAAGAAAATCAACAAGCTAGTAAATATAACAGAAAAAAAGCAAACTCATGGATATAGAGAACAAATTGGTGGTTATGGGCGGGGAGAAGGAGGGGGAAGGGGCACATAAGGGTAAAGGAGTAAGGTACAAACTATTTTGTATAAAATAATCTGCAAGGATATATTATACAATATAAGGAATATAGCCAATATTTTATAATAACTGTAAATGGAGTATAACCTCTAGAAATTGTGAATCACTGTGTTATACACCTATAGCTTATATATAATATTTTTAGTCAAATACACTTCAACTTTTAAAAAATCTCATAAAGAGGACTAAAAGATTTCCAGTTAGGTTGACAGACAAAGTGACATTAACAGTCTTGGATGGGCAGGGCTCTAAGGTAGCCTGGGGATAGCCACCAGGGACAAAAGTGGTAAAAACCACTCTACACAACATATTTTATTGTTAAATTATATTAACTTTCACATTAGGAATCTATTAAGTTTAGATAACAAATGGTTTTATCTATATTATTACAAATGCTAATGTGTTCTTTTTCAAATTTCATAGTTTAGACAGCTACCAAGTTAACCCTTTTCTTAGTTGATTCAGAGGTTTCTTTGTGTGTGTCCAGGTATTTTTTAATTAAACAAAAACCAATGTTTTAATAGCCCAATCAACAAAATAGTACCTTATAGCAACTCCAAAATCCAGCAGGGTCAAGTTTTAACAATCTGTTGTTTCTGATTACATAAGTATTGACAGTAGCTTTACTGAAGTTTATTATAAATAATATGACAATTTCAGTTCTCACGCCGAAAGGCAAATACCCTAGCTTATTTCCTTTGCCCATTGACTTTTCTAGGACTAAAGTGTGTGCCATGCATGGGTGCTAAGTCACTTCAGTCATGTCTGATTCTCTGTGACCCTATGGACTGTAGCCTGCAAGGCTCTTCTGTCCATGGGATTCTCCAAGCAAGAATACTGGAGTGGGTTGCCATTCCCTCCTCCAGGGGATTTCCAAACCCAGGGATCAAACTGTTTCTTTTGCGTCTCCTGCATTGCAGACGGGTTTTTTACCACTAGCAGCACCTGAAAGGCCAAAGTGTGTGCCAGCTTCTCCATAAAGTGATTTCAGACTATTCTTTTACATCCCTGATTACTCTTAGTTCTTATCATTCTAAAAGTCAAAGTGTATATTAACACGCACAGTTTAGTGGGGGGATGGGGAGGGAGGAAGAGAGGGAGCAGGAAGGGTTTCAGGAGTCAATTGCACTTAAACTATGTGGAGGGAGAATAGAATTTGGCAGGTAGATAAGGAAGGTGGGAGCCAGGAGCACTGCAGGTATGACACAGTAGTCCAAAAAGCATGGAGGTAAGGTGTCAGGTCATCTTTGGGGAGCAGTCTATTGAGCAGGCCTTTTTTTTTTTTTTTGGCCACACCGTGAGTCCTGTGGAATCTTAGTTACCTGACCAAGGACCGAACCGGAGGCCCCTGCAATGGAAGCTTGGAATCGTAACCACTGGACCACCAGAGAAGTCCTGAGTATGCCCTTTGACTAGAGAACAAGGATCTGAAGGGAGTGTGGTCTCCATGACAAGGAAAATAGCTTGAAACCAGACTGTACAAGTCTGCTGGAAGCCAGCTCCTTTTAAGGCTAGGTGAGATTTTGATGAGGAAATAGGCTGTGAGGAGGTAGAAAATGAAAATTCAATAGCTTTAATTGTTGGAATAAGATTCTAGAAGGAAAGGAAATAAGAATCTAGGAGATTGGCAGATAAAGTTAGACGGAAAGTGAGGAGGACTTAATAAAAAGGGAGGGCTCAATTTTACTTGAAAAGTCAAACAAGTAATGTTTTGTAGTTGATGAAAGAATACCTCTTGATATTTAGAAATACAAAAGTGATTTTTAAAAAAATCTGCTTTGTCAGAGTTTTCATTTCTTTTCCTCTGCCATTTTTTTTTTTCACTTTTTGGTTAAAAAAATGTTAAAAGAAATTAGGTACACAACAGGGATTGAAATAATTTCAAATAATTTTTCTTTTAGTTAGATTGCTGTTTTAAAATAAGACTACATTTTGATTCAGAACTTTTACGAAGAACTTGGGTATTTTATTACAACATCTGTTTCTACATTTTAATTTCTCTCCTTCCTTTTATAGGTATTTGCATACTTTTTTTTTTCAAATGAGAAGACCTTTTTGTTTGCCACAAGAAGGCTATTACCCAGAATGTTAATGGGTTTTCAGCTATTAAGATGTAATGATATACCTTGAGTATTTAACTATAAATTTGAAAAATCTCTGTGAACAATCTCAAAGGAATACTTCGAATGCACTCCTGGTAAATTGGCTCATTTTCCTGTAATTTACTGGAAGTGCTGATGTGAGAATAGTCCTAATGTGAAAAGTACATTAATCCCTGGAGTTACATTGTATGTATTAAATTATTATTCTCAAAGAATAAAACGTATGAGGCCATTTAGCCTTCATTCACATCTGTTACTTAGAATCACAGTAGAAAAACAATCACTTTTCTTACGATGCACAAAATTAGAAATGATACATTTAATATCTTTTAAAAAAAGAGGTACAGTGATGCTCAGTTACATTTTGCCCAACAATTGTTCTTTTCCAAGACAAGGACTGTTCTATAATAGTTAGGAACATGATTCTTCTGATTTTGCGGAGGCGTCTTTTATTCCATTGACAACTGAAATATTTTTAGAAACCCATAATGTAGTTTTGTTTGATGTCAGTCAAAAAGATTAGTCTGCCTTGTAGCCATGAGCTCCTACTACACTGTGGAATTATTTAAGGAGGTAATCAACTTGCAGAAGCAGCAGTTGCAGGAGCAAAGGATCTTATTTGGGATTTTGTGTAATTGTGTTTTTCTTCTTTACCAGGGGCCTGAAAGTTGTGGAACCCCAATTTGTGACATCAGGTGTTTTTTGGAAAGCAGCCATTTATGACTCTACAAGATTGGGACTGATAGGAAGCCCCTTCTGAGATTTTACCAAAGTTCTTGAACAGTACTACCATGGACATAAAGCTGGATCCTTCTCGAGATGACCTGCCTCTCATGGCCAACACCAGCCACATACTTGTGAAACACTATGTACTGGATTTAGATGTGGATTTCGAAAGTCAAATCATTGAAGGCACCATAGTGCTTTTCTTCGAGACTGGAAACAGATTCAAGAAATGGAGTAGTTCCACCGAGGTAGCCTGCCAATCAGAGTCAAACGAAGCCTGCAGATTTAGGATGCCTGAACCCTGCCAGATTCCTGTGACAAGTACAAAGACCTTCTCATCTAAAATAGGATATGATGATTTTGTAATCTGTGGTAAAGGTGGAAAAGATACTTCTGGTAAAGGTGGTAACCATGACAACCAGGAACAGGCTTCTGGGATTTCTAGCTCAAAGTACTGCTGTGACACAGGGAATCATGGGAGTGAGGAATTTTTGCTAGTGTTGGACTGCTGTGATTTATCTGTGTTAAAGGTTGAGGAGGTGGATGTTGCTGCTGTGCCAGGTATTGAAAAATTTACAAGGTCTCCCAAGCTCAGGAATCAGATTGTACATGAACTCGGGGCTCTGCCTGCAGATCGCTGGAGGGAGCAGTTTGACTCTTACGCTCGCTGCAGCCAGGCCCCTGGCTGCGGGGATCTCCTGTTTGACACTGACCCTTGGAGCTTACAGATCAGGAAGACAGGGGCTCAGACAGCTGCTGACTTTCCTCATGCCATAAGGATACAGTACAGAACCAAACCCCAGGGGCGATCAGTCACATGGACCTCAGACCAGAGTGGCAGGTAGGTTATCTGGGTACTCCACAGTTCCCTGGTCATTAATCTTACACACTGGGAGATGAACCTTTGCAAAGATGCTCCTCTTTATTCTGTGGCATTACCCATCTAACCCTTAAATCCTTCGACCCTCAGGGAAGCAGGTAAACTCCCAGGCATGCTGAACTCTTAATAGGATTACTTTCCTGAAAATGAAAAAGATTACTTTATTAAGCCCCTGTATTTCTGAGTTAGGAGACTGAAAGTCAGATTTAATGGTTAAATCTCAAGCTTAGCTCTCTGTTGAGATCTCTGCTAGCAACTTCCAGTACTGTAGATGGAAACGATAAGTGTCTTTGAGCAAATACTTTCCCCCAAAGTTCCTTCATATCCCCCCGAGGGAATAAATAGCTGCTGTGTTGGGTTGGTGTGAATCCTGGCAAAGTGCCTCCAAATAAAGCCAACTCTGCTTTGTGACTTTCTTACTGTATCCATCTCTTGGCAGCTATGCCTCCGTGGACTTTGTCAGTTATTATATAATGTGAACCCTCAAAGCACTGGGAAGATCTGTTTCTGAGGAGTATGACAGTCAGTCCTGCTGAGTTGACACTTGCTTCTTTGGCTGTGATTCTGGGTATTTGACACCAAGGGGGCTCCTGATTTTTTGTGTGGAGAGGAAGAATTGATGAAACATCAGTGTTGGGGGGAGTACATAGGCAGTTCTTTTCTTCTCCTCCTCCAGCAGTTTAGGGTTTTTAGAATTTGAGAATTTTCAAATCAAACTTTATTGATTCCTCATTATTTTACCTATTTATTTGTGCTAATGTACTGAGTGAGTCAATACAGTAATTATTGCTTGGTTGGAAGGACTTGGTTGGAAGAAAGTTCCTCTCTGTGAGCTTGTTTTTAGCGCCGCCTTTTATAGCAGAGGACTCCCTTAATGAAGGTAGTGGTGTAGATAAATTGCTTACATCTCTCCCCTAACTCACCCCCCCTCAAAAAAACCTTTTTGGTTTTTTTGTTTTAAAAAAACATTTTTAAAGCATCACCTTGAGTTTGAGCTCTCATTATCCCGCTCCTTGCCTCCAGTCTTACCTCCTCCTCTGGTCTCCCTCCCTGCTCAGAATGAGTTCACTTCCTGTCTTATTTCTGCTACTCTGAGGCAGCCTTTGGGATAGTGCAGGGTAGTGAAAATTTACATCACTAGAAAAGCAGAGTGATTTGTTTATAGAATAACTTACTGAATATTCTTGGGAGTCTGTGAAAGAAAGAAATAGATGTTCTTATTGTATCTTTAAATTTTTTGGAAATGATTAAAGATGAGCTTTTGATAAGATTTAACAATATGCTATCTCTGAATATTTAACTAGGAAATTCTAGTTTTCATACTTCCAGATATTTCATTTTTGAATTAGAATAACGGGGAAGAAGAAACTATTGACAGTATTTGGAAGAAATACTCATTCATGGTCTCAAACATAGCTTTCTTCTCAGTGTTTACTACAGAGGCTAGACTTGTGAATTACATTACATATGAAGTGTCGAGTAGGAATGAGGTGCTGATAAATGCTGGTTTCCTTAAAGAAACTCTCAAAGGTCCTTGGGCACAGTTTGCTCCTGAAGGGTTGACTTGCATTTACTTTTGATGTCTCCTTTTCTGATATTCAATAAATACATGATCCAGCAAGAGTTTAAGCTGTATCTTTGGAAGTCTGTAATTATATGTTAGTAAATAAATGACATTTATGGAGTCTTACAGAGATAATAAATTTGTTTTTTAAACCTTAAAAGATTTTTCCTCCCTTCTTTTTTCATTTTTGGGGGGAATTTTATTACAGTCATGATGAATCTTCCATGAACGGTCACTAAATTCTCCCACGTATTTAGGAATAAATCTAGGTATATACTGGTAACTGTTTGGATACTGTAAGCACCTTGAATGCCCAAGGATTCCAGGTTGCTAGACAGAAATAATTTCTTGTTAGTAATCACCAGGGTTTCAAATGAAAGTAGTGGTTAAATTTTTACCATTGAATGGCAGAATACTATCAACATTCCTACTATAAATTTTTAGTCTGGATGAGAAACTTTTTATTCCCATTTTACAAGTAGGAATATTCTATAAAGTTACTGAAAGCTCCTGGAAAAATCCATGTCTTAATTGTGAAAAGGAGCTATGTTTCTTACTTTTGATCTTTACCATGTCCCTTACTGTAAGCAAAGATTTCAATACATTTTTAAAAAATGAATTATATTAGCTTTCAAAAATTTTCCATTTTTAAGCTGATATTAGACAGAAATTTAAGAAAAACTCTAACCTTGTACCTGTCCTTTCAAGTTCCAACAGTGGCTTCTCCCCTTCCCACTTTCATTCTACACCTTGTAGAGAATTTTCAGTCGCTTAGTCATTTTGGACTCTATGACCCCATGGACTGAAGCATACCAGGCTTCCCTGTCCTTCACTATCTCCTGGAGTTTGTTCAAACTCATGTCCTTTGAATTGGTAATGCCATCTAACCACCTCATCCTCTGTTGTCCCCTTTTCCTCCTGCCTTCAATCTTTTGGAGCATCAGGGTCTTTTCCAAGGAGTCAACTCCTTGCATCAGGTGGCCAAAGTATTGGAGCTTCAGCATCAGTTCTTCCAATGCATATTCAGGGTTGATTTCCTTTAGGTTTGACTGGTTTGTTGAGAATAAAATTTGTTATTTTGTTTGATAATATGTAAATAAATAATCACTTAGGAGGTCAGAGGATCCCAGGAGGAAATTATAAAATGTGATGGAACAATCTAGCTATATTAAAAATGTATGAAACAATCTCATTGAAGAGAGTAGAGGGGAAAATGTGCTAATCTAAGTAACTTTAAAAATTAGCTGAATCTGTAAGGCTGAAAGCAAAAGGAACTGTACATAATTACTGCACTATAGTTGATAGAGTTGTTTCCCATGGGAATACAGGTTAACAATTCTGGTACCACTCTACATGTATACTGGAATTGAGTAATTTAGTAAATGGATGGAGATGATGGGAGCCAGGCTTCTCACTGTTGAAGTGAGAGATTACAGATGAGCAAGGGGAAGAGGATAGAATGATTCATGTGGAAATGGATTAGAATGGGAGACATCACTATGAACTCACGTTTAGCATAATACAGATACAGATGGTTGCATATAGAAATAATTATAGATATGGGGTGTTTGCAAGAGTTAGCATAAACACATGTATTTCCTTGTTTCTCAGCTGAATGGGTTTAGAAGCAGTGAGTACTCCCTAGTGCCCAGATCTTGGTTTCTAATATCATGCTCCAGTGAAGGAACCAAGTTCTTGGAGAAATGACTGGGGCCAGAGCAGGAAACATACAAGATGAAGCTGTAGCATCTATTGTGCCAGAAGACAAGGAAGTGCTCTAACAACAGCAATAAGAACCCGGAATTGCATGAGTGTATTAAAGTCCAAGGACTCATCTGAAAGAACTCCTAGTGACCAAAACTGAGCAACAAAGTAAAATAGTTTTAGATGATAACCCAAAGTTTAAAATAAATATTCATGAGTCCACACTAATATAAAAAAGTTACTGACTTAAATAAGCAAATGGGGAGAATGGCCAAATCCATGGTGCAGAAGTCCAAGTTACATAGAAACTCTGCCCTCAGGGAGGTAGAGCATAATTCCTCGCTCCTTAAGTAAGGACTGTTTATTCATAATGACTTCCTTCCAAAGAGGACAGTATGGAAAGGAGGGGAAAGTAAATTTTCATTTGAGAAACCTATCAAACATGACCTCAGCAAGGAGATCACAGCTGACATCAACACCGATGCATCACATTGATAGTATGTGATAAAAATGGCATCTTTGATCTTCCTCCTCAAAACCCACAGCCCTAATCTAACCAAGAGAAAATATCAGATAAATCAGACTTTTAACAAAATACTTGACCAGTACTCCTGAAAACTCTCAAGGCCAACATAAATAAAGTCTTCAGAAACTGTCACAATCAAGATAAGCCTAAAGAGACATGATAATTAAAATTAATGTAGTATTCTAGAATAGAAAAGGGGTATAGAGGATTTTTTTTTAAGAGAGAACTAAGGAAATCTGAGTAAAATCTGAACTTTAGTTAATAATAATATGTCAACCGTGACAAATATACTAATGTAAGTTGTAGGAAAAACTGAGTATGGGATATATGGGAAGTCTATGTTTTATCTTTGTACTTTTAAAAACAAATCTAGGGACTTCCTGATGGTCCAGTGGTTTAGAGTCTGCCTTCCAGTGCAGAAGATGTGGTTTGATCCCTGCTCAGGGAACTAAGATCCCACATGCCATGGGGCAACTAAACCAGCACACCCCCAACAAAACATCTCAGATGCTGCAACTGAGATCTGAAGCAGCCAAAAATAAATAAATATTTAAAAAGAAATCTAAAACTGATAAAAAAAAAAGTCATCAAAAAATTTCAAATTTGAAAAAAATAATCCTCTTTCCACCCTGAAATTTCCCTTTTCTAAGAGCTGTCACCCCATTTTTTATCAAGTAGCAATGTTTTCTAGATGGGAACTGAAAATATATTTGCCGCTGTAAAAAAGTATTTCTTTTCAGTCATTGTCAACAACTTACTCTCCTTCATTGTTATTCTAGTTCTAAGATGAAATAGCTGGAAATATAAAAACTACATTTTCCTACTTTCTTTCAACCATTGTAGAGTTCTGGCTTCTCTTGAATCTACTTGCTCTTTCTTGCCTCCATCATTCAGATACTAGATTTTAAATGACCTTTAAAAATGACTGATAAAACAAACACATACATAACAATATGATACATGCTTCTTGGAAAAAGTGCTTACTTTTGTGTGAGTATGTGTATGAGTATGTGTGCCCTTTAAAAATATTTAGATGAGAACTGGGGCCATTATTCTTGCTAAGCCAGATAAGAAGACAATATCTTTTGATTCTAGAGCATCAGCATACTTTAGAAAAAAAAAATCTTTAAAAAATGGAAATCTTTATTCAAAGTTTATGTGTTTCCT